TTTGACTGTGCTGGTGTTGGGATTGTATACATGGCGAGATGGTGGCACGTTTGACTGTGCTGGTGTTGGGATGGTATACATGGCGAGATGGTGGCACGTTTGACTGTGCTGGTGTTGGGATTGTATACATGGCGAGATGGTGGCACGTTTTACTGTGCTGGTGTTGGCTCATGGGATTGCGATAAGAAACAGAAACAATTGTATTCAAATAATACTAGAATACCCCCCCCCCACACACACACACACACACACACCATTTTCCGGTTCTGTTGACCGTTTTCACTCACAGTAAGCGTATAATTATGTATGCACACATACTAATTCGCATTCGAACACACGCATAAATTGGCCTCCCTACAGACTAAATTTTTAAACTTTTTTTTTTTACTCTTCAAAGCTCTTTCCCTTTTTGAAGAATTTGACCGGCACACAACACAGAAACACAGGCACACAACACAGAAACACAGGCACATAACACAGGAACACAGGCACACAACACAGGAACACAGGCACACAACACAGGAACACAGGCACACAACACAGAAACACAGGCACACAACACAGAAATCTAAAATTCACTAATAAACAAAGTAGTGGATGTAAGGAAAACAAAGACCAAAAGGAAAACAAGGGGAGGGGCCGGAGGAGAGAGAAAAATTGGGGATAAAAACCATGAAGAGAGAAAGAGTGTGGGGAGAAAATAAAAAGGGGGGGGGGGTGCATTACCCAAGTCATTTCCATCTAATAGGTGTATTAGTGCGGTAATATTCTTGCGTGATTTTGAAATAGGGTTAGACATGTAGTAGGCCTGGTTGTATTTTTTGTTAGTCTTAGATGGCATTGAACTTTAAACAAAACTTAATTATCTATCTATCTATTGAACTTTTGATAGCAACCTACGCTCTAGACATTAGTCACTTGTTCAAACACACTGGCGATGCACCACAACACTTGGTCGGCTTTCCCGTGTCTACAAGGAGTACTACTACTAGTGTCCAAGTGACGCGTTAGCTCTTAGTGTGCAGACTTTCAAAACACTTTTATCAAAATAAATAAATAGATTTTTAAAAGAAAAAAAAACATTAATTCTTTAATTTTAACACCCAAAAATGGTTACCGGAAATTAGTTTGAAAGAAATTTTGTCGACGGAAAATTGATCGACGGAAATTTGATCGAATGGAAATTTGGTAGATTTTTTTTTGTTCAGTTCACATGTTAAAATTTTGCGTCAAATCTCTTTTTGAACGCACTCTACTATACAATGAAACAAAATAGATGACAAAAATAATTAAAAACGTATTGTTTTTTTTTTCAATTATTCTCTATTCTTGAAATGAAACCTATAATTATTCTTATTATTATACTTATTATTTTTTTAAAAAAATTTTGTGACAAAATACATTTTAAAAGAGTAGCAGAAGTATGAAGCACGTAATATGCCCCCTCTCTTTTTATCTCTCTCTATCTCCTCTCTCCTTTTTTAAAAAAATTTTTTGAAAAAATACATTTTAAAAGAGTAGCAGAAGTATGAAACACGTAATATGCCCCCCCTCTTTTTATCCCCCCCCACCCCCCCTCCCCTTCCCCCCCCCCCCCCCCCCCCCAACTCTGTTACAAATAAAATTAAGATTTTGTGTTCTAAATCATGGCCACGGAAGACGGAAGTAATAAGGCCTAGTATTTGATGACCATATCAATTCTTAAGTTCATCAAGAGTTTTATGGTCAACACAGCATTATTATACTTTGCGTTGTCTACCTGTCCATCGATGAATGTGAGATGTATTTGTAAATACTTACATATTTATTTTTTAAAAAAAAACTTAAGTTATTGCCCGGTTTCATTTAAACGCCAATGGATCAGTGGTGCGAGTGTAGTCGTGATTTCTCTCCCCCCCCCCCCCCCCCCCCATTTAAAAAAAAAAAAAAAAGTAATTTTAAGGATATCTTCAAGCAATATCTCAGTGCAGCCGTATAGCTCTATAAGTGGGCGAATGTTATTTGCACTTTTAAATAGTTATTAAAGATCGGTTGAGCTGCGATCGAACATCAGTTGAAACACTTTGGGCTGAGTAAACGGATGTGTTTTCAAGCTGACGTCTCATAAAGCACTTTTGGACCCGCCACCCCCCCCCCACCCCCACCCACCTACACTTCCCTCAAATTAGTTTTAACTTTTTATCTTAAGTTGATCAACAATCTCGAGCATCGGTTGTTGTTGTTGTTGTTTGTTGTTGTTTGTTGTTGTTTTTTTGGATCAAGATAGTTGTAATATAATCCTAATATTTTCATGTGACATCCCTATTAATTTACTTTGCCCATTCATGTATGTGCATATTTTAAACCTAACACGTTATGTTTGTAATAAGACCCATGTTATAGTTGTAATAAGATCTAGGTTATGTTTGTAATAAGACCTAGGTTATAATTGTAATAAGACCTAGGTTATGTTTATAATAAGACCTTCATGTTTGCATATGTTTTCCCTATTAATTTAGTTCCCCCTTCATGTATGAGCATATTTTAAGTCTAACCAGTTATGTTTATAATAAGACCTTCATGTTTGCATATGTTGTCCTTATTAAATTAGTTCCCCCATTATTATTATGTATGAGCATATTTTAAGTCTAACAAATTATGGTTTTAATAAGACCTCCATCTTTGCATATTATATTTTCCTCATTTATTTAGTTGGCCCTATTATGTGTGTGCATATTTTAAGCCTGACAAGTTGTAGTTGGGATAAAACTATAGTAAACTAGCCTCGGCAGATGTCTGTCTCCCTATTCATTTTGTTGTTTCAATGGAAACACCTAACAAGTTAGTTCTATTTGTCATATGCTTAATGATTGAAGCTGGGGAAGGGGGGGGGGGGAAAAAAACCCATTGTTTTTAAAAGTAAATTTATTTTTTGTTTAAAGTAAAAGAATGACCTCCACTTCAAATGGACATTTGTGATCAAAGGATTATTTTCTGAATCGAACCATAAGTATATGTATGGATTAAAATCTCATAGAAAAGGTAACATTATTGAATTTTTTTTTAATTCTTACTCTCAAATACAATGCTACCTTGACTTGACGGTAGAATCATGCCCGACATTTGATGTTATGTTAATTTTCTGTATATTATATATAGCATTTTAACCAAAAAATCATGCTACGTCATCTGAACTATTTGAAAGTGGCAGGCAATGGGCCATGGGTTGTATACGTTTGATGTAAAGAACTAAAATAACAAGAGCTCAAACCGTTGGTACAGTCAGGCGGATACTACAACGTACAAAGTGTCGTGTCATTAGAATTGCATCTGTGTGAAGTGGGTGTGTGTGTCAGGGCATCGTGCCATCTTGTTGCTAATTCACAGTAGACTCGTGACGTAAAACTGTTTCTTTTCCTCATCTCGTTGTCTAGTTTCTCATGCTCATAAACCATGTAGCAACACCGGTTCCTTTGGACCGTAGTTGGGTTGTGGAGTTTGACTTAAATTAGACTTGAGCATCCTCTCTCTTCTAGTTGAGTCGTTGTGATCTTAAATGTGGTTTTTGTTCACTGTATCCGAATCGATTATAGCGTATATATTTTTGAAAGTGTTTCTTTATAAACAGCGTTAGGCTCGTGGTCAAATATTTATTTCGATAAACGTTGATAGGTTAATTATTGGCTCTCATTTGTTTTGTTTTTTGTTGGTTTTTTTTTTTTTTTTTGCTTTTTCCTAGTTACCTCCGTTAGTTTGTAGAGAATTCTAGACAAAATTGTTTTGGTTTTTTTTAATTTTGTGGTTATTTTTTTTTTTGTTTTTTTTTTTTTTTTTGCTTTTTCTTAGTCACTTCTGTTAGTCTGTAGATATTTCTAGATAAAATTGTTTTGGTTTTTTTTAATTTTTTGGTTCTTGGAAAAAAAAACCAACAATAAATTAATAACTTAGTTGAATTGACGCAATCTGCTCCGATTCACATGTGATTGTGTTTGTACATTTGCGCTCCTCGGCTATTGCCACAACAACAAACAAACAAACAAACAAAAGAAGGAAATATTAAGAATGCCAAATAGTAAGATGAACGTGCTATGAACATATATCCACTTAGATCCAATATGTATTAAGTTCTTTCAAAATGAACCGAAAATATCGTCATAGGGTATTCATACATACATGTTGCGTTGTCTGAGTAACATTCCATGGATCTTTATTAAGTGTGTTTATATTTAGCGCTATTATATGTATGGGGGCTGTCCAACTGTAACTTAATTCTGATAGCTCGACATTTAATGTGTCTGGAAATCTAAATGAACTCGTTTAAATAGTAGAATTATACAAAAATGTATGTGCAATAACGGACATCTATACTGAATATACAAATAATCCCCATACAAAAAAAGTTTCTGTATTTAAAATGTTTCGTATACGCTGCTCTACGAAGTCATTAAACCATGCCCCACACCGTCAGTATAATATTTAATAATTGAACACTGCTCTGTCTTAGATTTCTTTAAACCGTGCGTGGTAAAGGGATATTGTCAACCCTTTTTTCTTAATTTACTATTTTGAAGTGAACTAATTTTCGTGTACCGAAGCCACCGTGTACATTAAGTTAACCAGGCTGAGTTTTAAGTGCATTAATTTGATGTGTTACTAAACCACGGTGTACAATAAATTAACAAGACCCGGCTGAGTTTTAAGTGCATTAATTGTGTGTGCAACAGAGCCACCGTGTACAATACTTAAAAAGGCTTAGTTTGAAGCTCATGAATATAATGGGTAACAAAGGCACCGTGTACATGAAATGAACAAGTCCACGCTGAGTTTGAAGTGCATTAATTTGATGTGTTACTAAACCACGGTGTACAATAAATTAACAAGACCCGGCTGAGTTTTAAGTGCATTAATTGTGTGTGCAACAGAGCCACCGTGTACAATACTTAAAAAGGCTTAGTTTGAAGCTCATGAATATAATGGGTAACAAAGGCACCGTGTACATGAAATGAACAAGTCCACGCTGAGTTTGAAGTGCATTAATTTGATGTGTTACTAAACCACTGTATAAACCAGATTAACTAACCTATTTAAGTGCGCCCATCTGCTGTGGTGTGTACCAAAGCCAACTTTAACTTATATCTTAAGTAAAATGCGTCCATATTTCGTTATGCCTCTCTCTCTCATGTAATCCCTCTTCTGCATCACTACCAGTCTGAACGCCATCAAGTCAGTGTTGATTTCACGAGAAGATTTATTTATAAATCAAAATAAAATAAAGCATCATAAATGAAATAATATGGGTATAATTATAATATAAATTAAACAGTGATGCAACAGATTGACAAATTGACATGATGTACACGACTGTTGTATGTTGTTGTTGTTGTTGTTGTTTGTGCACCAACCTTGAAAGTATCACGTGTACCGTGTTTTCCACGTTTTTTCATAAATAAACACAACCTAACGTTGACGCAAATGTACCAAATTTCCGATCAGATTTCAATGATCGATGCTATGGAACCTCATAACAAAACTTCTGATTTGTATAAATATTTTACTGAAATGAACATAAAAGAAAGCAATCTGCACCGAAAGTTCAGTAAAAGAAAAAAAAAATTAAATTAAAATAAAATTTAAAAACCCAAGTTTAGCCAATGTAAACAAATAAACAGAGCTGATATGAACAGTGATTTTTTTTTTTTAATGTTTCACAAAGGCCATAGTCGCATTAATGTTGTGTTATTTGTACTGTATGTGGATGTGTGTGTTGGGTTTGATTCAATGCATAAATAATCAAAGACAAATGATAGAATGCTCAGTATTCATGTCTGGTGAAATTACTAGACAGTGCACGTACCGGGGCAGGCGGCAGACCAGCACACGGGGACCTCATAGAATATATTACAATCGGTGTGCCCCCCGGTGCCGCTCTTAATTCAACTAATACCTTGCCATCCGCTACACATCTAATGGACTGTCAGTTTTAATTTATGTTTATGACATACCATTTTTACCGCTGTACGTTCGTGGGCTGTCAGATCTCTCCAACGTTATCCGTGTCGTCTACCACCATAAGTAATATCATCACGTTTATGGCTTGGCCGTCCCCCTCATAACGCCGATGTCATGGGCAGGTCGATTTTCGTGTTTACGAGTTGAAACGAGAATCAGGAGTATAACACAACTTACGAGATCTTAGAGGGCTTCGAAACTCCTGGGGTTCGTCAGCAGCTCCCTGACCAGCCTCCACACCTGTTTGGCCACGTTGTCCATAGCGGCGGCGGACTTGCCCTTGAAGAGATCAACGGTCGGCAGAAAGTACTGCGGACAGCGCCTGTTTTGCAGGCAGGAGATCAGCTGGAGGAGGATGCCGTTGATGCGGTCGCCGATGCACGTGTCGTCCCACTCGATCTCTCGAGGGTGCTTCTCGCACTCGTACAGCAGCAGCGTCTTCATGTGGTAGTTGAGGATAGGCTGGCCGGGGATATCCAGATGGCGGTCTCGGAGCGTCTTCAGGATGCTGAGACATCTCCTCCGGCAGCCACCGTAGAGCAGGCGGTCCTCGGCGTATCGGAAGGACATGACCCAGGCGTCACCCTCCGCGGCCGACTGCTTGTCCTTCATGTAGATGCTCTCTTTGGACAGCAGGTCGAAGCCCTCCGTCTTCACCTCGGCCACCAGGTTCGGATTCGGCCACGACACGTGGGGTATGGGCCAGTGTGCCGCCGACCGGCACCATATCCCTCCGCACCGGAACGCCGGCGTGATCTGGACGACGTAGCGCTCTTTAATCCTCAGCTTGACCTCCGTCGTGTCGGGAATCATCTTGACCACGTCCCTGTAGCTGCACTTATCCACAGCCTGGGCGACCAACGTTTGAAACCGGGAGCGTATCTTCCGCGCGCTAAGGTATCCCGAGGCCGTGATGAACTCCACCCATAAGGACATGGACCTCTTCCTGCCGTCGGAGAGTTTGAGCACGGCGCAGCCGGGGATGGTGCCGTCGTCGACGAAGTTGAAGACGCCCATCTGGTTGAGGTAGAGCACAACCTCGAACTCGGTGGGTGAGATCACCTCCACGCCCTCGTAGCGCATGTTGACCTCCGTCAGAGAGCTGGCAACAGACAAATAAATTGGGTTATTGGTTAAGAGATATGAGTAGAGTTGTTTTTTCATAAAATTCCTGCTTATGTACAAAGTAAAATGTTTTGAACGGCCACATACGAAATATGATTAAGTTGCGAAATGAAGCGATCAAGAGATCTTGAAGAGATTTCTACATTATTAAAAAGTTTAAACTAGCTGTACTAAAAAAATAATAATCTTCATGCATTTAAACTGTAACATATGTCTATCCTCTAAAGTAGATAGATCCTTGATAAATCTTCTCTAGATACTTGTCAGATCCTTGATAAATCTTCTCTAGATACTTGTCAGATCCTTGATAAATCTTCTCTAGATACTTGTCAGATCCTTGATAAATCTTCTCTAGATCCTTGTCATCAAAGATAGTTTGCAGCATACAATAAGCACTTCTTAATTTATTGATATAGCGTTTCATGTTTTCATTTTAATGATTAACAAATTGAACAACACTCTCCCTGGACGTAGAGACCGCAGTTAACAAATTCAGTCCTGGCTATGAAGTAAGGCTACTCAGAAATTAAGTCTGATGAAGTCCACTGATATACCAAATTTTAATTTCTAATGTATTCTATTCTTAATTTTTAACTAATTTACTTTAATTACTACAGATACGTTGTGTAACAGTCTACAGACATTTTTGTATCGATCTCTCATGGGTATAAGTTATGGTTACATCTGCATTCATTTGACACGGAAAGGAAACGGGCTAGACTGTCAAACGTCTACTGTTGCGTTATATATATGCAATGCATGTCTCGGGGGGAAACTGTGATGGTAATGGGACGCTTAAAGTCATTGACAAAAATCACTTGTTTAATATTCACTTTAAATGCCTCGATAGGACAATACTTTGCTCAATGGCGCCGATGAGATTTTTTTTTACCCCCCCCCCCCCCCAAAACTTTTTGGGTTTTGGGTTTTTTTTTTTTTTTCACTTATGGGATGTGGGATTATTTATTGTTTTTAAGTTATGATAGAACATAATGAAGAGCTATAGTGGCATAAATATAATTTGTGTGTGGCTGATGGCGTTGGTATTAACCTTTCTATTAGACACAGGTGTGCACTAAATCTTCCCCGTTACAAGCTAACAGTACGTGCCATGGCTATTTAAGTAACTTTGACGATGAAATCGAACTTTAATTTGCTTAAAGAAGGTGTATAGGTGTCTTCTGGCCAATAAAGATGTCCCTCTGATGGCCAAGACGGCAAGTGGCCCGGTTCTCAGTCAACACCTGTGGCCAGTGGCCATTGATTTAGGGATGCACTGAGCGGCCGTGTCGGTATAAACTTGCCACCACCAGGCCAAGAGTACACGTTGGACATGTCGTCAATGGTTCTACACTGCAACTGTTGACAAGTCAATAAACCATTGGTCGGTACCCACGGCAGTTAGTTGCCGTTAAAATAAGTCATAAAGCCCTTATTTCCAATCATGTTACATATTTATTTATATTGACTTCAGACTTTCTTGGTGGTGACGTAATTAAGTCATTATAAATATAATGAAGTTTTCAAAACAGATCTCGACAATTTAATATTTAAAAATGCATTTTTAAAAAGTGTGTGTATTTGTGTGTGCAGGCACGTATACACTATGTCCGGAAAATAGATGAACATTGGTGAATGGAGAGCGTGTCATGAAGCCTGTGTTGAAGCTAATGGTGGACACGGAAATTCGAGCACAAACTAAAGTTTGATACCATTTAACATTATGTTCGAGTTTTGGAGTTTAAAAAATTAATAAATATTTACCGTTGGTTTACATCATTATAAAAAGGGTTCCCCTTTTTATCCGGACACAGTGTATAAATGGACATTATAGGACTTATATGTGGATTTGAACATTTTGTTTTATTAACACCATCAGCGTTGAATATTCTTGGTCTCTCAATTGCATTATTCCCAACCTAACAGACAACAGATCATGGCGGAGTCTTTCAAATATAACTTGATATTCTGCCCATTCATGGCAAGCTGGAATTTTTTTTGAAATGTTTACATGATCAATGTATGAATGTCCCATTGAGAATGGTATTGTTCATTATAAGTCATCTTTTCTACTTTGAATTAGAAAAATTTCATTTCAGCAGAAATGCGTGGTAGACCGCATACGAACTTATAAATGTATCCTTCAACGTGCGTGCTAAACCATTCGCGTGACCAGTTATGAGTCTATTTACCTGATAAATCTGGGCTCCTGAACCTCCACCTCCTTGAGCACGTCCTGCACCACCTTGCACACCTCCCTGGTGGTCTTGTTGATGTTGGCCTTGCGGGCGTGCACCCTCTCGTTGTAGTACTTGTTGATCTGGAACAGGAGCTTGGACTGGGCCGACATCATGTCCGGGGACGTGCCTTCTAGCAGCATGGTGGACGGTGAGTACACTGGCGGATACAGCTTGGACGAGGACGGCGGCACCTCTAGGAACGTGTGGATGGGGACCTGCAGTTTGATGGTGTTGTAGTCTCAAATGACGGACTTACTTTTTTTCCACCAGACCGCTTGCGTTTACTTCCAACTTTTTACCTGGTAAGTGGTACGCTCCAAGTAACCAGTGTATGGCTTGTGGAGTAATCCCCTTACAGTTCGATTCTCAAATACCCTATTAGAACCCGTTCGTTGCTGGTATTCTTTTCTTTCTTAGAATTCCAAGCAATTTAATGAACTTGAAAAAAACAACTGCTTTAAATTCGCTATATTTTTGTTTTTTTCTTGTTATGGCTGTAAATACTGGCCACAGCTCCAATTCTTTTGGTTTTGTTCTGCTGTTTAAAACTGGTGCTGATGAGTTGAACACGTTTTATCACTGGTGCCAAACTGACCCGAAACTGCAGTTATTAGAATGAATGCAAGCATTGTGCATCCAAGCACCACTCCATCCAATGACCCCGACAGTTTCGCTACTGTTTTGACATGGGATGTGACCTGGCTCGGTTTCCCGCTGTCTCACTTTGCTGACGCTACGTAGACCCCTGGTTTCCTGTTTAACGTTTTCCAGGCAAGCTTTTACCAACCGAACGGCGAGGGTTTTTAATTACCGAGGACAGAGACTCTGCTCGGCGTTGGGTGTTTGTAAAAGATGTTTACAATGCTCACTAAACCCTTGCCTAGACTCTGCTGGAATATCTGATAAGTGTTGTCCTTGATAAAACCGACAGCGACTGGATTTTTTGTTGAAGAGGTTGTTGCTGAGCTGTGAATATCAACAGTTTTCAACGGGTTGAGTAGCAATCCTGGGTTTCAAGCTACTTTCTCGTAGTAGGAAAAGTTTAAAAAAAAAAGAAAAGAAAAAAAGAACTACTTTATGTTCGCCTCGGCCGACGGCCCGGGGGGTACCGTGTCTTGACGAGATTCACGGCCTCGGGGGGTGGTCTTGTGTGAGATGTCACTTCATTCATCAAACATCTTCTGCTGACAGTAGATAAACATGCCCCGACGTGTGCGTGTCTGACGTGCCACACGATGTCGTAGGACCGATATCGTTGTACCTCTTCGTGGTGTGGTGGCTGCCGGCGGATGTATTATAGACTCCCAGGCATACTTTGTGGACGCCCGTGTCAAATCAAACAGACTGCGATGATGACTGAGAGTAAATCGATATTTACTTGTGTTACCGTATCGCTTATTTAACCTACCCGTTGTTCTGAGAGAATTTTCCACTCTCCTAGTCCTGGTCCTGACAATAATAAAATTGATCGCCTACAAATAAGATACTTGATTAAAAAAATCGCTCTCTGTCGTTACACGAACGATGTGACTAAAAAGATATTTAGTTTTACTTCCTCCGATGGCTTGAATATTCCAGTCTTATTATAATCCAAACAACAAAGAAATATCCAGATTTTCGATAACAAAATGTTAATCCGTTTTTGAATATGTTCCTATCGCAGCTGAACGTCGAATTCCTCTGTCTCGCTTTTCTGGCTGTTCCAAGATTATGTTAAGTATAAACAAATCGCTCTTGCCATTGATTTGAAGAAAACAGTCCACGGGAGCACGGAACTGTTGATGAGAATGAGACGAGTTTGGAATGGTGCGCGTACAAATCCTATAATCTACAACAAGGTCGTCAGGTGACAGCTATCCTTGACGCGGGAGTTCCCTAGCAATGACCAACTCACCGCACCGATGCCATTGTTTTGTACGGCTCGTTCAAATGTTATGATAATCCCCCAGTGCCTAGAATGGCCTCCGCGGCCTCCTCAACAAAAACCTAGCCCAGGCGTGAAGGGAGAAAATATGGTAAATCTCCCGGTCTGCACCGCGAGCAAGCCGTCACTCACGCGACCCCAAAGGGGCGGAGCCTGGCGCTCGGGACTTTTCGTTGGCCAATGCAATCGATAGTTCACCTAGCAGCCCGTGCAGCCTTTTCCTGTTTTTCCCGCCAACCACGGAAGAAATCGGAAATAAATTGCTGTCAAGTGGTTTTCTAAGCTCCACCCCACACATTCCCTAGAGTGGACTCTGGAGCGTAACTAGCTTTCTTTTTTTTTTCTTCCAATGGCTTACCCGCCCCCTTTTTCTATTCCCACTTAACCCACCCTGATATAAATTGATACCTAGAGGCAGTAGAGTTGAGTAGAGGTTATCTTATCTATTTCTGACCAAGTAGAAGGCCTAACGTCTCACTCATTTTGACACGCAAGGCTTATTGAATGGAACAATGAGTAACAATACAAACACTAAGATAAATGGGTGTGTGAAAGTAGTTCGAACAAGTTGCCGCCATTGGGTTTGAAGCCAACGTAACCACACGAATAAAAAACCATTGATCTATCAAAGACAAAATATTGACTGTTTCAGATTTAGCGGCCCACGTCGACTTTGTTAAGGTTATGCACAGGGATCGATTTAGGGTTCAGGCAAGGCATATGGATAGATTTAGGGTTCGGGTTAGGCATAGGGATAGATTTAGGGTTAGGGTTAGGCATAGGGATCGATTTAGGGTTCAGGTTAGGCATAGGGATCGATTTAAGACGTAAAAGTGCGCGGGCCGCTTTCTCTGAATTTACCAAAATATTAAATCAATGACTGAATTATAAGGAGTGAAACTGGAATAAATTTGCCTGCATGACCCGCGTGTTGCTGTAGTTAATTAAAATTGTAGCATGTGTGATCCTAAGCCCGATCAACTAGCAAGGTATGATTGATACTGTATATGCCATCTTCTACAATTCAAATGCTGGCGAAAACAACGATTTTACTTTCAATATTAATCTCAAACATTTTTCTACATATTTTTTTAAAATTAAAATAATAATTCTGAAGTGTTCTTCAAAGAATTATTTAAATTATAAATAGTTTCTGTTCAATATTCGACCAATGTTTGACCAATGTCATTTCATGGCTTCGACTTCCCCCTGACACTGAGTTTGTATTGATCTTGGCAATCTTGTGGCTATAATTACTATAGCAGAATAACTGTAGCAAAATGACATCTTCCTGTTAGGTACATTCTTTCAAGTGAGCCACTGGAGCCGATCTATTTAGGCCCATGCCAGCACAACTCAAAGTGTAAGGCGGGCCATAATACTTTATGAAAAGCCTGTGCGGGCCAAAAGAAAATAAGACCGGGGGGGGGGGGAAGCTATTTAGAAAATAATTAGAATAAAGAATATTTCGTTACTTCGCGGGCCGCCAAGTGCGGGCTGGCGGGCGGTATGTTGTGCACGCCTGAATTTAGACTACGGTAACTATAATTTTATATCATAATACCAGAGCAATCTATAGTTTTACGTAGTCAGTCCGTTATAGAACAGAAACATTGTGACAGTTATTCGGCAATAATTGTAAGATTAGTGTATCACCCTTTGGTCAATCGCTTCCGACACAAATCAACTATGGGACATTGATGTTCTTATTAATTGGGGCACATTATAGCTTTTCATATTAAATGATAAACCATTTCGTCCACGGATCCATTGAGGCAATCTATGGGTGTAATTAATATGTTGTCTCAAACCTGTCCAGTGTCCATGAAACAAATAGTGGAACAAGGTTTGTGGATGCTTGAAAATAAAAAGACAGGACAATCAAAGAAGAACGTTTCGCCTAAGAGCCTTGCTCAGGCGGCAGACAGGACAGATGAAGAAACAACAAGAAAGTGGTTTAGAAACCTAAATGTTCGCTATTAATATTATTGTTGGAAGTTGTTTTTTTCCAAAACCAAGATTACAGTGAGTAAAAGAATGTGCATTACTGTGAAAAATAAGATTTTAACGGACACTAATATTTTGGAAATATGTAAAATATAACAAAACGAAATACAGGGAAATAAGGATCAATAGTGAAGGAGTGTTTGATTCATTCCATATGGTGTGTGATATTGTGCCAAAAAGCTGAGTTAATTATTTTTTTCCCTTCTAACTCTCACTGGTGTGTTAGTGCAGGAAATCAGTGCCGTGATAGAAACATCTGATGTCCCTTAGTGTTTATGTCCGTCGAAATGGGATGAGACAAGGGAACCTATCCGATAATCTTCTTCAAGTATAAGGTTAATATTTACTTTAAAACATTTGTGTTTAGAAAGAGGGGGGGGGGGCGCTGTATAGTTAGTGCAACTGATGTCAGTCTATCGATATAACCTGTTGACTGCAATCAACCGTATTATTGGCAATTATTTTTATTTTATTTTTTTGCGAGTCCAAACACTTCAAAGATCTGATAGTGGAATCCCCCCGCTCTCATAGCAAGGTAACAGGCACTGCACCTCTTTGACGAGGGGCGCCTCGGCGGTGACGCCATGTCCCCAGACACTGGTCGTGAAAAGCGAACATTTGAATATCCCGTTTCACCAGTAACAATCCCGTCTGCTCGGCCCCACGGTGGTACATGCAACAACTGTACATGTTCGCCATTGTCCCGCGGGGCCACCGTTCAATGCCGAATGCCTCCAAGAACATTAATTAACATTCGAACCGGGTCTGTGTCATTCTGGGGTTTAATGACGCTGGATTTCTCCCCCTTTACTGCCTGTGCTGTCTTACGGCGGGGACTTCACTTGGCTCAGTGACAATGCCATGGGTTGTAAAATTAAGCCTGAATTAGCTCTTTTACGACTTGTGAAAGCATGGGAGCCCTTTTTAAATTTAAAAAAAAAAAATTTGTGGCTTCTTTATACATATACAGGGGCGCCAATAACAACAACAAAAACTTGTTTAAAAAAAAAACAACGTTATCTTCTTTTCCACGCTCATTTTATAGATGTATTCCTGTGACTGTGAGTGGGGCACCAATACCAATAGTCAATAGTCTCCTCGCATGTCCAGGCCAGTGGGCGTTACGAAGGCCGTATGGTGTTTTGGGGACTTGTATTTCATAAAATGCATTTTATAAAATACAATTTTGCCACACGAAATGGCGCCGCCCCCCCCCCCCCTTTTTTTTTTCTTCTTTCTTTCCTTAGACAATTTAACATCAGCTGGATTTAATAGATTAGTCACGTGATCAAATAAGCGGGCAGGGCTAGCCGATACTTAACAGATTAATTGAGTATAAAATACAATTTATACGATATTTTAGCGTTCATTCGTCTCGGCTGAATGAAACACTGGCCTTGGGCTCTTTTGAACAAAGATGTCATCCGAAAAGGTCTAACCGAACCGTCTAACCGATCCGTCTAACCGAACCGTCTAACCGAGCCGTCTAAACGAGCCGTCTAACCTAGCCATCTAACCGGTTCTTTTTTAATAAATAAAATAGTCGTGAGGATCTGAGATGATTGGGCATAGATGCAAATGAGAAATAAGATAGATCTGGCCAGCACGTAAGATCTATCTTATTTCTCATTTACATCTATGCCCAATCATCTCAGATCCTCACGACTATTTTATTTATAGTAATACTACATGGAATCCTGTTGTTTTTTATAACACGTGTAGACATTAATTATGTTTTTTTTTTGTTTTTTGTTTTTTTAAACATATAAATAAAATTGTTTTTTTTTTTAAAAAAAGGCAGAAACATAAGTCAGCCGCATTGTACGTTTAAAAGTGTATGGGGGGGGGGCTGTTGTATTTGATATTTTTTTATTTTTCCGAGATCAACATGTTACCGATGATTTAGCGCGCCCAGCACGGACTTTTGTGAGAAACAGACCTGGAACTAAAACTTCGCAGTCACCTGTCGTCTTTTCAACCACATGAATGATCTTTTTTTAAAGATCATGCTTTTAGTTATGGTTGATTTATTGTATTCATTTATATAATCAAATAAAAATACACATTATTGTAACTAAAATCACAAACGAACACACACACAAAAATATTACTCATGGTCATGTTACTGCTCACGAATGTGATGGCTACAGTAACAGTCGACACGTTAATTGCTCCTACTTCTTCTCCTTTTAGTTGCTAGATTGTAGCGTCTCAGCTATCCTCCTTTTCCTCATTGCTACCCCATAGCGTAACCTCGGCAAACTTAAAGACGGACATATCTCATGGCGAGGCAGGCGGTAATCAACACAAATCAGCATCGTGTTCTCTCTCTCTCTCTCTCTATCTCTCTCTCTCTCTCTCTCCTCTCTCTCTCTCTCTATCTCACTCTATGCCAGACTATGCTCGAGTCCTCGAGAGCGGCTTCATTTTACGACGGTGACTCGAGGGCGCGACCGGTGCAATTCGAGTGGCCGGTGAGTGCCGTTACAAGCAGGGGCCAAATAACATCCAAATGACGGAGCTCTTGGAGAATGCTCCCCGGGGCTGCGCTTGTCGTGATGGCGTTTTCAAGTCGTCGTCTTTATGACTCGTAATAAAACTTTGAAAAAAAAAATAGTACATTCGGGTTAGACCATGAATGTCCGGTATATAGGTTCCCAGTATTAAAAAGTAGATGAGTCGTGTGTCAGCCTCGAACTACTTTATAACTATTATTATTATTATTACTATTATTGCTATCATTATTTATAGTTATTGCCCTCCAAACAATGGCGGCTGCAATACTTGAAATGTCATCTGCTAATATCACAGTTTTCTCAACCTTCCTAATGCTCCGCCCCTACCTCCCCCCCCCTCCCCGAACTTATTAATATTGTAATGTTCAAATATTACGCACCAAAACGCGCTTGCTGTACACAGTTATCAATCATTTTAATTTGCGCGCCATTGAACTCACGATTACGTCATACTTTCTTTCATCCCTAGAAAATTATAGTCTTTAATAATTATTATTATTATTATTATTATTACTGTATTATTATTATTTTTATTTTTTTAATTTCTTAGTTGTTA